GAACCGCTGAACTGCAGATAGCAGTCAGCTGAAGTGGCCTGCAGTACTGCACCCTAACCACTGCGCCACCTCGGCTCTAGGTAGAAGCTGGGTAGATATGTCCGTATTGTTGCGTGGGTGTTTGGTGTCTTTCCTTCCGCCTTCCAAATATTCCCAGCATCCTCACTTAGGTTCTGCCATAACTATGATCCCCACCGTTCTCTCCTCCGATACATGACGGTGCTAAGACCGCTTAATTGTATCCTAGCGAACCAGATGGGCTTTGATCCCCTCATGTTTACCCTTCTGGCACCTGGCGTGAAATAACATTGCCTTTGATCAAACTGGGGCTCGTGCATGATGAGCATGGGAGCATGGAAGGAGAAGTGGGGTCGACAGGCATTTTACTGATGCTCCCCATCCCTTTTCAAAGTGAAAGGATAAAAAGACTCCACGCCTTTTGAGGTTCAGCACCCCACTATCTAACACTTAAGTCACTAGGTAGCCAGATTCATTGGAGATTTAAATTAAGGTAAATGTTCCCCTCGCACATCTGTGCTAGTCGTTCCCGACTCTAGGGGGCGGTGCTCATCTCCCTTTCAAAGCCGAAGAGCCAGCGCTGTCCGAAGACGCCTCCGTGGTCATGTGGCCGGCATGACTCAACGCCAAAGGCGCACGGAACGCCGTTCCCTTCCCACCAAAGGTGGCTCCTGTTCTTCTACTTGCATTTTTTACCTGCTTTCGAACTGCTAGGTTGGCAGAAGCTGGGACGAGTCACGGGGGCTCCCTCCGTTACGCGGCGCTAGGGATTCGAACCACCGGCCTTTCTGATCGTCAAACTCAGCATCTTGGCCACTGAGCCACCGTGTCCCTATAGATTTAAACTAGGTCAGGTCAAAGTCTCTGGATGTTCGCTTTTTCCATGGCATCCCGAGGACCTCTTTGGTTGTGTGTTTTGTGCCCCGGAGGAGCAAATGGTGTCATCTACTCCTAGTTGAACTTGTAGATGCTCCGGAAGCCAACCGTAACTCTTCTCTTCTTGCCCTAGGACAGATGAAGTGGCCATGATCATGACAAATCTCGAAAAGGCTAACCAGGTGAGCGGACGGGTGGCCACGGGCTAAAGGCCTTGGGCTTGTCAATGAAAATGGCTTGAAGGCCTCAGGAAATGGATGGTTGGTGTGATGTTTCCATCAGACATTCTGACGGTTCTGATTCTTCCCTTTTCTAGAGAGCGGAGGCTGCCCAGAGGGAGGTGGAGAACCTGCGGGAACAGCTTGCCGCTGTAAACAGCTCCCTCCGCTTGGCTTGCTGCTCTCCCCAAGGACCAAGCGGGGTGAGGACCAGAAGGGGAACCCTCACCGATCAAATGAGGAGAGCGGTGCTCACGGGGGAATTTCCAGAAGCACAAATCTTCCATTTCCCGACTCCTCATTCTATGAATTTCGGTTGCAATCAGCTCAGTGCAGACCAGACTAAATGTTGAGGAACAATTTAGTTTTGGGTGTTGGCTTCCAGGCCATTTGCTGCTTGGGATTTGAGTGTACCTTCAGCTCTAGAAGAGGAGCAGCTAATATGAAGTCTCGAGGTGTTGTGGCCCAGCAGTGGCCAGCAGAGGTGGCAGCAGATTCAGACAGTGAGGAGGGTTGGGGAGGAACCCGCGCCAGTCCTGGAGTCTGGGGAAGGCTCTGAGGAGGGCTCTGTGTCGGAGGCAGAGAGGGGGCTAGGGACGTCAGACAGTCATCAGCTGCCTTCAGAGTCAGATATCAGTGAGGCAGAAGAACAGCTGGAGCCTGTTCCCAGTGTACGAAAGCGCAGAGTGGCCAGATAAAGGGAACAGCTAAAGAACAGGGACTCAAGAGTAAGGCCACAGGTGGACGGTGAATGGCCCCTCCCAGAGGAAGTAAAAGAGGAGCGAAAGG